TGATCTTTATAACATGCCGTTTACCTATGCTCTATACTTCTCTGGATTTTAGTATATGTTTCTTGTTTGATATTGTTTGCATTGGTTGTAGTTACATCTTATCTAGGTCATTATCCCTCATTATTTCTGGACAATATTTGATAACCATTCCTTTGTATATAGTCTTGTATGAGTTTAGAACCTTCTTATTTAGACAAAAAGGGGGAGATGTAGTGGGTAGCCATTCCAGCTTTGATCTGGAAGTTCCAACCCCCATTGAGACTCTGGCAACTGTCACGCCTACGAGGCGGGGCGAGGGGAGGCGCCTGGGGACCCGAGAGCTGGATGGGCCAGCGCTCTCTCTGTGTGCTCTCTCAGTGCCGGGACGCGGACCGGTGAAAGGTGGATTGTGCAGAGCTCCAGAGAACACCGCTGGATTGCAATACACCTTCCCCAGACCCTGAGACCGACCCATTACTTAATTTGTGAGTTATGCCATTAAATAAATATCCTTTTAACTATGTGGAGTGGCCAAAATAATTTCTCCAATAAGGTGTCATCATAAGCCTTAAGGAGACTGTTATCTATACCAGAGGGGTCCAGGGCCTGGTAGCAAACCGTGACCTGACTGGTGGTGATTGTAACAATGGAGGTAATCTGATGCCAGAGAAAATGAGTAAGCATCAAAATAAAACATAGCATAATTATGGTACTAATAATGGGCAGGAGCGAAGAATATAAAAGAATTTTGGAACCAGGACAAATTTCCTGTTTATTAATTGAGCAGGAAGGGAAGGTTGTCCTTGTCATAGTCTTGTTGATTATGTAATTCATTTTTTCTATCTTGCATTTGGCATTCAGCTCTAAACAGAGCTTCCCAATGTACAAATAGAGTACTGGGAAGAGTGGATGGAGAAATGTCTCTCCAGTCTAGAGGAGTTAAAAGGGTGCTACTGAAATTCTGTAAACCAGACTTGGTCCATGGGGCAAGAATTCCATCCTAACAGATGGCTTGGAGTGACTTTTTTAAGCCTGTTGCCAAGAGGGGGTACGAAGCTAATTGGAGTAGTCTTGTTACAGGTAGATTCACAGGGAAGGTCCCTGTGCGTGGAGGATATGCATCCCTGGACCACTGTGGCTGAGAGAACTGGGGACGATTATTCCTAGAATCTCTACGACTACAAGGCTGCTGAAAACCTGTGGGGGGAGGTGACACAGATGGTGGTGCTGAGTGTGGGGTAGGGCTCATCCCGGTGTGGAAGGGGCCTTTGCCATGGTATCTGGGTCTCTGTTCTCTGTAATCAATGAGGGTACTGGGTCTTTATCCAATGAAGGCTCATAAAGGGGAAGACAGGGGTAAAATGGGGAGGGCTGTTGTGGCTAGGGAGTAACTTTTGCCTAATCAGATTGTTTGCTTTTTCTAGGCCGGCTAAGTCAGCCACAGGTCAATCCTAGGGTCTTCCTCTTCATTTGAGTCTGTCCCCTTGTCTCCCTTGCTTTTTTCTCTAATGGGTCATCCTGAGATATTGGGGTTTTCCTAAGCATTGCGTAATGGCGGTTACTACAGCAAGGAAGAAAAGGG